GAAACACTGTATAATTGTAATATACATATATATGTATATATATACAAAGTGCTAGGCTATAACAGTTCAGCGACCACCGGATTTTGAACTGACGCCTCTTTTCGAATTTGAACCACTCTAGGCTTCATGCTGAATCCCTCAAAATGCCAGACTATTGACTTCTCCTTTGGGCATAAACGAGGTCTACAAACACTAGTAAGTACCCATGAAGCCTGTAGCATTGAGGGGACTAAAATTGAAACTAAGTCTAATGCAAAATGCCTCGGTCTAGTTCTATCTTCCGACCTTACTTGGTCATCTCATATCCTAACGATTTCTAAGAAAGTGTTCCGTCTAACTTACTACATTAAGAAACTTAGACTATCTGGAATCACCCAACCTCTACTTTCACAATTTGTCAACTCTCGTATCTTACCTATTCTACCTTACTGTTCCCCGTTAGTCTTTCCTGGTCTACTAAAAAAGGACTATACCATCCTGAGAAGGATGTTGAAGATAGTTAGTAGGACTAGTTGTGTAAAACTCAGTCAGCTCGTCACTACATTAGTAGAAAGGCATCTGAATACATGCGAAAAATGGTCTAAAACCATACTCTCCGACGCCCAACACCCCCTTTATTCCCAACTCTCTCCTTGTATCTTATCAGGTAGAACCAGAGATCGGTATAAAATAATATATGCTCGTACAACCAAGTACAGGAACTCAACAATACCATAGTTGGCCCGTGTTCTATGTGACAGGGACAATGTTAAGCGCGATACCTATGACTTGCTTTGTTGTTAATAACATAATTTGAGGCTCTTTTATTTCTCTCTTATTTCTATTATATAGTGAACACCTTCTTGAACATACTTAGCTACCTAAATTATTAACATTGGCTTACTTTTTTGTACTTTACTTTATTCCTTCTTTTGTGTATCTACTGGTTCCGACTATATTAGCACTATGAGTATTACAAAATTGTCCTGCCATTAACCATCATGTAATATTAGTTTTGTGGTTGTTTTCTGTTCGGCAACATTAACTGACAATCTTGGTTGTGAATGCCATTATCACCATCTTAAAATTCTGTATTATGCAGGATTACTCACACTACCATTACCATTACAAACACCGCATTAAACCTGACAATAAAAAACCCTGAAATGTTGTTTTATGATTGTTTAGTGTTGTTCAATCAAATTAACTGATCATCTTGGCGATAAACACTCTTAAATATCATTTCATAACTTCTAGTATGACTATAGCTTTACTGTCACCACGTATAAACATATCATAGCTTCCACTACCCAATAATGAGATATTATTTTATGTTGTTTATTTTCCTTTCTACTCCTTGGTATTTTTTCGCATTTTTCATCTTTTTTGTTTTTGTTGTCTTTATATTTATTTTTTGAAATACTCCTTTTAAATGTTTGATAAAATTAGATGCAACATTGTAGATATGTGCTGAAAATTCTACACTTTACCACTAGTACTGTTTCTGGAATAAAGCAAAAACATTATTATTATCATTAGATGTACGGAAAGGTAGCCCAGGTGTCGAACAGGCCACAAAATAATGGAAGATAGAAGAAGAATGTACAAAATATGGTGACAAATAATCTAGTGAAACTCTTAAATATGAATGCGATTAACAGAGAGAAATTCAGTTCACTAAAGCCCACGCAATCCCAATTACCACACATGTATGGTCTGCCCAAAACACATAAACCTAACATTCCTCTACTTCCCATAATGTCAATGTGCAGATCTCCAACCCACAAACTTGCACAGTGGCCAGTGGAAATATTAAAGGCTATTAAAAGGTGCTTCTGTAAGTCCTCATTGAAAGACACTTTTGAGTTAATTGACTGTCATGATAACGTTGATATAAAGGACTAAACCATGTTTTCCCTAGATGTTGAATCTTTATTTACAAATGTATCTCTCTTACAGACGGGCGACACTTAATGTGATTACATCTCTGACAACGATTTCCTATTACCTGTATCCATATCTTACTTAAAAGTTACTGCTTCTTTGTACTAACAATGTTAAGTTTACATTCGAGGGTGGGCATTATCGCCAGATCGATGGTATTGCTATGGGAAGCCCCCTAGGTCCATTCTTAGCTGATATATATATATATATATATATCGCATGTCGAGAACCTAGTGGAGAAAGAGATTGGAAAAGTTTATTTTTATAAAAGATATGTAGATGACATAATAGTCATTTGTGATAAACCGACAGACGCCATAGAAATCCTGAACCAAATCAACAGAGTGCTAAACAGTATATCGCTAACATACGTTAAAGAGAATAATGGTTGCCTGCCATTTTTAGATGTACTCATAACCCGCCGAGAAGATGGGTCGGTCAGTAAAACGATCTGTCTACAGAAAGTCCACATGGACGGGACAGTATCTAAATTATCATAGTTTCTGTCCACTACAGTATAAAAAGGCGTTGGTCAAATGTTTGTTCAAGCGCATTCACCGTATTTGTACTGCCGATACAATTGAAGAAGAAAGACAACACCTCACTGAGATATTGTTAGATAACAATTACCCACTGAGATTTATTAGGCATTATGGAGGTGTCAACCATAGAGCTCTACCAATCCAATCAGCTCCTAAATAGGATGTTTACATATCCTTGCCGTTCAGAGGTGATCAACAAAGTCTGGTAACTAGACAAAGACTCTAGACCAGAATTAATAGAACCTATTATGCAGCTATACTTATCTTCATAGAGAAAACGAGAACTATGTTGTCCTGTAAACCCTCACATTATCCGAACGATAGTGTCACATCCCATTGTGTTTATCAATTTACATGTATGTGTGGAGACATGTACATAGGGAGGACCCATCGGTCTCTGCAAGTGAGGACTACAGAACATATTCCAAAGTGGCTGCAACAACAAATGAAATCGCCAGACACAATTGACCGGGAAGTAGATGTCCAACATCATCTATAGCGAAGCATGTCATAGAGACAGGTCATAAGGTTGACTTCAACAATCCCTTTAAGCCGATATATAAAACAAGTTTGGGTCACATACTTAAATTCATTGAAGCCTTAGCCACAAAAAGACTTAAACCTGTCCTATGTGTCCAAAAGTTATTTGTTATCACTTTGAAGCTGCCTTAGTAATCCAATTTAGAACCAAGGACCAATTTACATCATAATATTTTCAACCCGTTCTTTGCCTTGTTTTTTCTTTTTTTCTCTTTGTTATCCACACCTTTTGCGTCTCCCTACCCATTATTTGTGACCTTGACCTGTACAGAATCTGACCTGCATTGTAATTAATCATGTCTTCTTGCCTTCTATAAGAACTGTGTATGACAAGTACGTGTGTGATCAGAATGTCCGAAATGTGTTTCGCCAGTGCATAACACGTTTCAGATAAACGACTCCGGCTTCTTGTGTTTGAATTTTTTTAGTGTTTTGTTCATTCTGAAACAGTTAAATTCCCCACACTCTCCTGTTTCCCTTTAATATTTTTTCCCCGTGGAGAACAAATTAACCTTCAATAGAACGTTAGGTTTTTTCCTATCCATATTTAATATAATCTGATAATAATAAAAATATTTTAAAAATATTTTGTTTTTTTTGTTTTAAATGTAAGTGGTTTAACTTTAATTTTCATTAATATGTCGTCCTTTGCATGATTTCAAAAAATCTAAATGACTACTTTCATAAATACCACGAAAGAAAAAGGTGTTAACGGTTGTATTGTTTAGGGGTGCTTTAACCGATGAAATGATATCAGTTTCCTGAAGACAGACACACGTTCAATTTTAAAATCACAATATTAGATGTACGGCAGTAGACCAAACATCAATAGGAAATCTAAAACATTAAATAAAATACACTACTGAGTCTTATTCAGTTTTTTGCTGTTCACTTATACTTACCAGTGTGGAAATGACTGTCTAACATAAATATAAAACATGTAGAGGAAATTATGTAAACTATTATTTATGCTGAAATACACGGGGAGATTTTTAAATCCAGGTAATTTTATGAGAGTTCACTCACAGTCAGCTTGCTATTGGATACCTAATGCGAAGCTCATTGGAGCGAAAACTATTGAGAAATTTTATTTAAAATGGTGGTATTTACACATATCCTCAAATGAAGTCATATTTTAATTTTCCTCGTTCTTGCAGAACACGAGCTAGTGTGAATTCTCTTTAATGATCTGCTATATAGTAGATTGGATCCACTAAAGCATAAATTACTAAAATTTTAAAAAATGCTTCACAAGCTAAAATATCTCATGACAGACACTGGAACACTTATTAAAATTTGTTTAAAGAACATACTCATGAATTCAGGGAGGAGAAAAATACAGGGATTTCATTGATTTCAAGTTTCACCACAAATTGACTTCACTTACAGAATCACTGAAAACCAGGGAATACTCGATGGTTTTTTTAGTCCTTGTTTGGAACTTCTAAAAATTCTCTAGTATTCTTGGTTTTTCCTCTGTCTTATATTTGAGCGTTGGTTGTCCCAGTCGAAATAATGTCTGTGGTTGTCTGTATGTAGTGATATGAGGGATTGGATGTCATGTCTTTTGACGACTAGCTTATGTTCATGGATACGAAGACGAAGGGGACATCCACTTGAGCCAATGTGGAAATCTAATAGCCCCCTTTAAATTTCAGTTTGCGCTGAAGATGTTGCCTAGTAGGGCAATGAAAGCTTCGCGCATCAGCTCTCCAACTCAGCGACCACAACCACGTCAAAATCATCCATCTGAGCTACAAATCTTCTCCATCATATCTATAAAAGGTATTTTTTTGTAATCAACTCTACCATGCAACATGTCCTACTGAGAGTAGGGAACGAGTTGTATATAATCTTGCAATATTTGAAAGTTTAATGTATTGCAAGTTATACAATAAATTTCGTTATATTGTTTTGAAGTTATATTATTAAAAAGAATATTGTCAGTTAACCACTTAATGAAATTTTTGAAGGTTTTTTTTCGTCTATTTTTAGGTTTCATTTTCAAGGACAGTCTGGAGATATTCTACCAAAGCTATTCAATTCATTAGTTTTAAAGTAGTCACAACATGCATTATTTCACTGGATATAATTTCGCTGTTCAAACTAATCATTGTATTTGTATAATTTCTGAAGGCATAGAAATCTTGTCATGTATTAAAAAGTATTTTATATCATGTCTATATCTGGGTATGATTTTCTTGTCAAATATAATCAGTTTGCAACAACCAATGTTGTGTTCTTGAACCTAAAACGCCATCACTGCATCCACACACACACACACACACACACACATAGTGAGACTTCAATACTAAGCTACTCTATTTCAAGTTTTCATTATATGGTTAAATCAAAATTACGGTGCCTCAAGATAGAGCGTTTGCTTAAAAGACTTTACGGCTGTTCATCTATTAAAATCCATAAATTTGTTATGACATCAGCATATATACATGTAATAGTAAGTAATATTGTGATCTGGGTATTCAGCTAAGTCGAAACTTGCTCAAAAGTGGATAGGTTAAGTGAAATTCTTATTTTTAGACTGATATTTGGAAGCCGAATGCCTAATCCAAAAAGCCATAGAGTCATACAGTTTAGCGTCAAGAAATTTATCGGTTTTAGTAAGAATAATAATAATAGGTTTAACTCACTATTCGACTACAGTATGTTAGTTATTTTGGGTATTTTATCCATATATGCAGAATGATCTAGTCAAAGCATTGGAATCGACGTCTTCAACAGTTTTGCTGAAGTAGCCTAAAACAGTAAAATAACATTCTACTGAAATAGGCAATGACATTTGACCAGAGTGCGTGTGTTTTAAGTTGCTGCAATTAAAAGTGTGAATATTATTTTTGAAAAAATACGCAGACTGCTTAATAGTAGTATATTTTCAGCAGCTTAAAATAATCGTATTATGAGCGATTACAAAGACATTATCTGCCATTTGATATAATATTGTGGTGTGTATTCTGCAATACTGTTTTATGCATGTATTGACGCACTTTCATTATTAAATTATTTTTGGAACATTTCCATTCACTTCCAGTTTGTTATTCTCTCTCCTGTGATATCGATATTTCTGCATTACAGCATCATTCTGCTTCTGTTCTGTTTTATTTTGTGTGCTATAGTATTTCCATGGTAACCTAAATTTAGGTTGTACATCAATCTGTTTGCATGTCATAGTAGGGTTCCAGAGAGGCGTTTGAAATGAATAGAGGAGTTAGATAAGGCTACCTGTTATCGTGATAGACTGGATTATATGGCAGACTGGGTAAAGAGAGGAAAGGAATACGCTGGACCGATAAGAAGACTAGAAGGTAGGAATTTCAGAGATGATCTCCGTCTAATTTCACACAGACTGGAAAACTTGCAGGTGAAAACCAACAAACTGGCAGAAGAAGCAGACAGTGAAAACAGGACTTCAAGTGAACTTACAGAAGATGGCAGTCTTGAAGATAGCCGACCAATAGTGAACACTAGTCATTATCAACAGGAGAAATTTAAAAGAGGTTACTCCTTCAATTATCTAGGAAGCATCGTTTCAACCACAGGGAGTCGGAATGAATGAAGATGTCAAAGCCAGTCAGAATTGATAATGCAAGATACGCCTTCATCAACCAGAAACCAGTTTGGAAATCTTCTGTACTCAGCATAAACAACAAAATTCAAATTTTCTACACAAATTTTTAGTCAGTTCTTGTATATAAGTTAGAAACGGCGTGTGCGGCACGAAGAGCATTTCCAACAGCCAGTGTAGGAGAAAACGGCAACAGAATGGGTCCATGCTGAAGAGACCGTCGAGTGACATCGCGCCCAACGCAGGCTCGATTGGAATCAGAACGATAAACCACGAGTGAGTCGTCCGACATCGACATGGAGGAAATCATGCAAGGATGAGTTGGAAGATTATGGAAAATCGTGGACGCAGCTGAAGAGGACAACAGAAAACCGTATGTTCCACTTGGAACCCAAGGAAACATTAATAATTAATATAACAGTATAATAATTATTATTATTATCATTTCTGGATTAAATAAGAAGACAGTTGCAGCGATTACTTTGCTTTCCAGGTGGATCATAGAGGTTGAAGCTTTGACATTCCAACTTCCAGTGGTGGTGGTGGTGGTGTTAGTTTTGTTTAACAGGTTAAGGTTTCTCGTCTCATACCCAACCTTTCCTCTTTCCCTGGCTTACTATCAAACAGTGGTAAAATAGGCTTAAGGTTTAGCAGTGTGTCGACAGAAAAGTGACTCTGGACTATGGGTGTAACTTGCGAGCATTCTACTATTGAACCACCGATGTAGCATTATTATTATTACTATGAGTTTCTGTTTTCCTCGAACTCTTGTATGATAAACGCTCTGACTAGTTTATCGATTTCTGCTTTTATTAACTGAAGGATACACATCAATACAATTGGAGATTAGCCTGAAAATAAATGTTTGCGTTCACTTATCACTTACTTAAGGGGTTATATGTTTCGAGTGTAAGGCTCAAAAAGAAATAAAAATTTCAATGAAGAAAGCGTGATTCCTGAATAAATATTCTTTGCTAATGTTTTCGTTTTGTGTCTAATTTGGGATTGTTAATATGAAATATGATAATCTTAGAAGAATTTTTGAAGTATTCACAGTCATATAATTCTGTTCTAATTTTATGGTTTATCAGTAATGACTGATTTAACAATAAAGAATGTGATTCAAGCAAGAACAACAATGGTTTGTGCAGAATAATATGGTACCATCATTGTTTGCATCGTTGGCTTCTCATCAGCTGCTTACAACTTAAATTATGAGGTTTATATACAGAAAAGTTTTAAGATACTTGCAAATTTTTCATGATGTCAGTTGACAGAAAATTCGAAAATGAGTGGACAGTGCTCAGAAAGTTGCGCTTATATAGTTTTCGCACAGGCAGTTCAAGTTTAAACAAAATAGATGTATGCATACAATGGTAAGGGAGTTACGTAATGAATACTAGAGATGCTGGATGACTAATAAATTAGGTAACAATGAACTGAGTTCAACTCAGATCATAGAAACAAGAGACGAGCAAAATTAAACTATGTCAAAGGGATTGAAGTTAAAGCCAAAGATTGCGTAATCAAATGAAAGAAAGAATAGAGACATGCAGTTACCAGGGCAAGGAAAGACTAATAACTGCTTCTTTCGGAACACATAAATCTGCTTGTGTAAAAATTATGAAAGCGTAATTTTCTGAGCACTATTCACTAATTGCGGAACCTTCTCTCAACTGACCTCATGAAAAATTTGCAAGTATCTTAGAACTTTTCTCTATATAAACCTCTGTGCAGCTGATGAGAAGCCAACGAAATAAACGATGGTACCATATTATTCTGCACAAACCACTGTTGTTCTTGCTTTAGTTAAATTTATCAGGGGGCACAAATGCATGAAATAAAGAATGTACCAATATTAAATTTATCGCGTTGACTATATGACTGTTCCAGGGAAATTGTTTTTCCACCAATGGCTAGTCGAAAATACGATCCACTATTATACAGATATCTATGTTACACATGATCATTCCTACGCATAAACATAAATATACCTCGTACACAATATAATTTGCATTTATTTCATTGACGAATTCAATACTAAATTGAGGAATTTTAGTGAGTGGGTGTGATGACAAATATTCACCGACAACGTTAGCTGGAATTAAATATTGCTAATTGGCAGAATTCATTGGTTAGCCAGTGGATTCCATTCCGGTAGCTAAATGGTCAACAGGCTGGCTTAGTGAACTGAAGGTTATAGGTTTGGTCCCTGGTGGGGTTCTTGGTGAGTACTGCTTAGGAGTTCCAGATTAAAACGAGACAGCTGTCAATTACTCCTAAGTTTTCAGTGATCCTTTAACTGAAATTAATTTGTGACCTAACGTGAAAAAGACAAAATCCCTTCAAACCAACATTTGGAAGCGTTATTCATTTTAGAAGACCGTAAGGCAGTTCAGATATATTGAACTAGATTAAAGAATAGTCAGATTATTCCACGTAACTAGTACACTAGCATTTTCACTTCCGTTAAAGATATAATAATATGCATGTTTTTAAATATCGTATAATTATTTAATAGTCTTTCTAAGACAAAGGTTGAATGTCAGTTAGATAACCAATGGAAAACCTGCAGGGAGTATTGAACAGCTGTTTATCCTAGTTTGGGAGTCTTCATCAGTCCGCATCCGCTGGGTTCGAACCCGGACCTTCTGGTTACAAGGCGAGCTAGCTCGTAGATCATTAAGCCACTGGGACCCGATCCAATGGCCCATGAACTGCAACTTCTGTCAATTCACGAGATAGCGCGACCACTAGTCAATGTCTTCGGCGACTATCTGTCGTCACACCCGACCTGCTGTACCCTACTGGTCATGACTTCCCACCTGAATAGGGCCAGTGAACATCTCATTGATACTCAAGTATTGGTCTGTACGAATCTGATTGATTGGTCACAGGATTTCATTATGAGCTGACATCGGTTAGAGAACTAGTGGGCGTGCGTGCTGCTGAAGTATCTTCAAACAGGACGAAACAGCTCTCCAGTACTTGAAGGGTTACCACTGGTTCTCTAAATGATATGAGCTCATGATAAAATCCTGTATCTAATCAATCGAATCCCTACAAATCAATACTTGAAAAGTTAGATCAACCACATAACAAAATGGTTGTGTGGTATTATTCAGTTAATAAGTAGGTAATACGTGCAAGCGAATGAAACATGAATTTATTAGCCATGTAGGTACATAAAATCGAAAAGTAAAACAGTGCTAGTCAGTTCAGACAATTTTCATCAGAATGTATTTGCTTTACAATTCATTTTTAATTGTGAGTGGGTTTTCTTTTGTAGGGACTATATATTTATTATTATGCAGTGGAATCTGACTGTAGTGCGATACACTAATAACCAACTATGTCTCTACGCTTTCTAAGTCCCCTGAGACTATGATTTGCTTTCACATAACTGTATATTTAAATGTTATAAAGGTGGTTGACCAAACAGACCACAGGTAACGAACCGATAACCAGAAAGCTTTACAAAACAGATTGTCAATTACAAAGTCAAAGTGAATTCTACTGATTAAAAACTTTTCTGCAGTATAAGTTTCCTGCTTATCAAACATTTCTGGGCGTAGCTGGTACTCATTAGTGTCAATCTACACTTGTAACGGCTGAAGATGAAAGAATTTGGTGATAGAATTATCTATTT